TTTGGTCACATGGAATCTGGAATGAAGATGTATATCACTCAAAACTCATCATGGTTTCTCAGGCCTCCAGGTGTTTGCACATACCATTCTCACAGTCTGGAATATCTTCTCCCATTTTGTCCACCTAGAAACTACCCTGAATTTTTAAAAAATTCAATTACTTTCCTTTTTTTTCAGTAAATCTTTCCTGGTTTGCTCTCCCTCCTTCTCTCAACCCTAATAAACAGAGTCAAGCAATTTTTCCACTTCTGTTGCAGCACTTACCAAATTATGACTGTTTACATGTCTGTTTCCTGACAAAATTATATGTTCCTAGTTGATAGTGTATTTTCTCTTTCTCATGTCTGCATCTCCATACCCTAACACACAGTCAGCACTCAATAAATATTTCTTAAATGAATGGACGCTTACAGGAATGTTGTGATGTATCAAGCTTTGTTTCCTTACAAGGGATCGTGGAGTATGTTTCATAGTGCCTAAAGTCATTCCAAAATTGTGACTATTGGTTTGAGGGAGAGAAAGAAAGGGCACATATAAAGGAGGGATTCATTACAGTAGACTTAGCTCATCTAGCATTGGGAACCCACTGAAGCATAAGACTACACGACAGAGATTTCTACACAGATTATATTAGCTGCAAAAAAAAAAAAAAAAATCTTAAAAATTAGAAATAACAGGGGCTGGGGTTGTGGCTCAGTGGTAGAGTGCTTGCCTAGCATGTGTGAGGCACTGGGTTTGATCCTCAGAACCCTACTAAAAATAAATAAATAAATAAAGGTATTGAGTTCATCTACAATTAATTTTTTTTTTTTTTAAATTAGAAATAGCAGGGCTGGGGTTGTGGTTCAGTGGTAGAGCGCTCCCCTAGCATGTGCGAGGCCCTGGGTTCGATCTTCAGTACCACATAAAAATAAATAAATAAAATGAAGGTATTGTGTCCAACTACAACCAAAAAAATATATATATATATTAAAAAAATTAGAAATAGCAAATGTGAAACCTAGAAAGATTAAATAAAGGTTCACTCAATGGATCCCTCAAAAACAGTATTTTTAAAAAACATTCAATGACTAGCAAAAAATGTTGGCCATTCCAAGCAAGTAGAAAAAGGCACTAACACCATGATTCCTGTCACAAATTAAATACAAATGCCATTTTGAAAACACTGATTTAAAAACATTTAGAAAAAAGCCTGAAATAAATGATATTAAATTATTAACTGTTTATTTTTGGGTAATTTTCTACCACTAATGTTATTCAACCAATACTTATTAAGCATCTATGTGCTTGCCACAGAGCAGTGATGTACAAGAGACATTCCTGTTCTCCTGGAACTACTCATGTCAAACTTTATAGTCAATCAGAAAAAAGCAATGAAAGTAAAAATACAACTGGGGATGTAGCTCAGTTGGTAGAGTCTTGCCTCACTTGCACAAGGCCTGGGTTCAATCCCCAGCACCACACACACACACACACACACAAAAAAAAACCACGTTAAAAAAAAAAGTAAAAATACATGGAATTGCCCACTCAAAATTGATATCCCACAAAAAGTAATTAAAAAAAAAAAAGAAAGAAAAAGATTCCTAGAATTTTTATGAACTCTAGGCTGGAAACAACACAGTACAAAACCAAATAATGACTGCCCAAATGACATGCACTGTTGATGTGACTGTTAACAAAATACAACAATTGTTCTCCATCACTGTATCACTGTGTACAGTAGTAGAGACACTAAATCTCCAGGGTTTCCCTTCATGTTAGCACATTTAAAATTTTACAGTAATTATAAATTAAATTTGCTCAGTTGAAATTTAATCCATCCATCATCTACCACATTCCTTTTCTCTTTGTTTCTTTCCCCTCCACCATTTCCTGCTGTTGCCCTCAATGATTTAGTCTATTTATCTACAACAATCTTTACATTCCTCTTCTTTCAACCAAGGAACAGCCAGTTTAAGATTGAAATTTCCACTCTTGAGAATTCTCTGGAAAGACAGGAGCTTCACAAGGGATCTGTGGTTTTGAACAATGTAAAAATAATTTACAAAGAGTCTCAAAGTTACAGTCTTTTTAAAACTCTTGCTGCATGATATTTTTCAAGTGTAAAAAAAAGTGGGGTAATATCAAGTACAGTAATGATTAATTAACTTCATTATTCTTTCCTGTAATTATTTTATCAGTTTGTATTATGGATTGAAAATATTTTTTAAAACTTCCTAGTATTCTCAGATTATCACAAGCACAATAATAAATAGTAGAATCACCCTGCCTAGTACTTAAAAAATTTAGCACTACCATCTGTATATTACATGTCTTTAGACATATTAAAGAGAAAATATAAATTGACAAAATTCCACAGGACTTAGACCATTGACACACAACACATGCTATGAAATAGTTTTTCCCAGAGAACTCAAATTATTGAAATTTGTAATAAAAACAGATAGGATATCATAAAAGGCATTGCAAGAATAGAGTATTAAATGCTAACTTAACTGTTGTGACATCAAAAGCAGATGCTCAGAGAACTAGGTGACAGAATCACTAAGTCATTTATTCATTCACCAAAGTTTTAGAAAGCACTTACTCTGTGCCAGGCATAATCCTAGATGCTATTAGAGACAGAGCAGTGAACAAGACAAACATACCTTCCTGGAGTATGTTAGTGGACCAAGATAGATAAGAAAATATGAAAGGCTGAGGTAGTAGCTCAGTGGTGGAGTGCTTGCCTAGCATGTGTGAGACACTGGGTTCAATCCTCAGAACCACATATAAATAAGAAAGATAAAGGTCCATTGACAAAAAATGTTTTTAAAAAAAGAGAAAGAAAATGAGTAAAACATATGTTAGATGGTGGTAAATACAAAAATTAATAATAATAAAATAGGAAAAAAGATGAAAAGGGTGTTTAAAAAAAAGAGGAAGGAAAGAATCAAGTCATGTTGCTATCTAGGAAGAATACTTTGAGTAGAGGAAATAGCAAGAACAAAGGCCCAGAAGTGGGAAGATGCTTATTATGTTTAAGAAACAGCACATAGTGTTTGGGGCTTGTTGGGGAATTTGAGTAAGGCTTTCATGCATAGGAAATATAGCAACCAGTGGAAATAGCAGAGGGAGATGATTCCAGGTGATTAGAATAAAGAAAAGCAAAAGATAAGGAGACATGGATGTGTTAAGGATGTTTACAAACACAGGCTGGCCTAGAGTGCAACACATATAAGTGTGAGCATGATTGTGAAGGCAGAGGACTGTGGGGGCAGTGGCAGGGTTGTGAAGGTGGGGTGTGACAAATGTTTCGTCTTGGATTCTCTGGTTAGGAGTTGTGGAAGAGAGACACAAAACAGGGAGACACCAGAGTAAAAAGTCCTGTCCCTTTAATATAATCTTTATTTTCCCTGGCAAGAACAAAATCTTGCACCAGATAGTTGCTTTAGTTGCTGTAACTACAAAGAAAAAAGGTGGAGATCTTGGGATCTTTGTGGGGAAAACACTCTCTTCAAATTTTCTTGTAGTAGAGAAAAGAAAAGATATGTAAGAATTGGAATTTACACTACTGTATAATTAACATGAACTGAACTGTTCTAAAACATAGTGAATCATAAGACAAAGATGACTAAAAAAACAGGACTAAGAAGGCAAACAGGAATTTCAATTTTTAAAGAAGGAATTCCACAAAAGAGCTGTGGATAAACAATTAAGAACTAACTATATCTAATTTTAGATAAAGAGGAGGGTTCTGTTACAATCAGGCCAATTTTGAATTCAAAGATATTCATAAGGACCTTGCTCGAAATTCATCAACCCAGTACCTGGAACATGGTATACTATAAAGAACATACTATAAAGATTAAAATGCTTGTTTAAGGAATAGAAAAACCTATTCATTAGAGCTCATCTCAGTAGAATAAAGCAGTGCTGGAGCTACCTTGCACCACCTGGAATTATTACTATTAATAAGGAGGAAATTAAACAATAGCAAATAAGTAGGAAGAAGAGATGTTTTCCTTCCATATTCCCACCTGTGCAAAACAACAACATAACCCAGAAGAATTTACTAGTTAATTCTCTCATGACACAAGGCCAATTCAGTTATATGCAGGATTGTTGTGTGGAATAATGGGCTGTGAATCACATGATCAGAATCTAATATACAATGCAAAGAAACTTCCTTAACTTATATGCAATATATGAGTTAACCTATATAGGTTGCATTAATGTTCCCTTTTTGAAACAGAACAAAAAGCAATCTCAATTCCTTTCCTTTTGACCCTTCAAAAACTCAGATGACTTAAGAAACTGATTTGCTTCTCTACATTTTTTTTTATCCTAAACTAAGAGTAACTCACCCTCAACAATTGTCTAAAGAAATACAGTGTACAATAAAAAGACACCAGTTCTTATCCATTCATGATTATGAGATGCTGTAAATCCCAAAGAGAGGAACTGCTAAAAGTAGGAAAAAACCCCAGTAAGTTAATATCATATTTCAAATCATCATATACATATGATAAAACTTCTACCAAAAAAAGCATCTTTCTACATGAGATGATGTTTGTAACACACGTCATTTTTTACTCAATATAAGACTGCTTATAGTTACAATCTAGAGACAGGATTTCATATGGCTTTTTTTTTTTTAAGACAAGCTCATTCATTAAAACAAGTTTTATTTTTTTTTAATGCAGACATTTTAATGTCAATATTCTTTCCTGTCTCACCACCTTCCATGAAGGATTGTCCATGCTAACGCTGGAACAGTCTTCACTACCATAACTATGCTTTAAAACCACAAAAAAGTACATCGCGGTTTCAAGTGTGGTTAGTTCTGTCTGTTGGTAGCAACAGTCCTGAGCCATGAGCCGAGGGTGCTCTGAACAGAGTAAAAGGAACCCCGGTCGCTTCCTCCCCAAGATGCAACAATAAAAGCATCCTCCCGGCTCCCCATACTTGGCCAGAGGCGTCCCTATTCCCGGACCCGGCCGCCCGCCCGGCCTCACCTTGTAAACGTCCCCATAAGTGCCGCTGCCGACCCTCTGGACGAGCTCGTAGTCCTGCTGCGGGTTCCGCCTCAGGATGTCCGCGGCAGGCCGCAGTGGGGCCTCCATCTTCACTCAGGGCCCGGCCCCCGCCGGCTCTGCCTGAGGCGCCCCGATTCCCGCTAACGAGGACGAGCGGCGCCGCTTCCCAACATGGAGCCTCAGCCCGCAGCTCCGCCTGCACAAGGGACGAGCAAAGGCGGGTAGGCATCGCGGCTCCGACCCGGAGCGGCCCAGCGCCTTCCCTTCGGTCCCGCGGGAGCCTAGGACTAGCGGGCCGGGATGGATCCGGTCGCCTCGTAGCCCCATTCGCGCCGCGGCCCTTCCCCCTCCCCGACCGCCCGCCGCTGCCCGGCCCGGCCTGACGTCCGCGGGCCCCGGGCCGGCTCGGTACCTGAGAGGGGCTCTTTGTTGAACGCCGCGTTCGGGCCCTACTTCCTCGACGGCGCCCGCGTCCTTGTCCCTGCGCCGGCCTGCCGCTCCGGGTCTCGCGCTGCTGCTGCCACCCGCCCGTTGCAGCGCGCGTCCTCTCCAAGACCGAGGAGGCGCGTACTGTCGCCGCCGCCGCACCACGTTCCCCACCCGGGGCTGCGTCACCGAGAGACACGTTCCCGGCCAGCGTGGGTCGGCGCCCAGCGGCCCGCCCGACCGCGCTGGCCGCGGGACCAGAGTGCCGCCCTGAGGCCTGTAGAGGGCACGACACCCTCGACCGCGCCGCCGCGCCCCCCAGCCCAGCACGTCTTTTCGGAGCCTGGATTTTCTCTCCTGCTCACAGAGATTAGGGACACCTCCCGGGAAATCACCGAACCGTCCCCAGATTCGTCAGGTAAACTTGGACGGTGACGGGCCGAGGGAGAAGGGTGGGCACGAGGGCGATGGAAACGCACTTCAATAAAAGGTACGTTGAGGACACTGGACCAGAAGTAACCAGGCTGTGGGGCGGTGGGGAAGGAGGTGGGGAAGTGCCTGGTTAACTCAGCCGCGGCACACCCTACTGCACCTTCCGGTTTTGCAAACCATTCCTAGTGGTACCAGTTTGAGGCTGCACTGCTCACCTACACAACCTGTCCTTTACTGAAGTTTTTTTTTTTTTTTTTTTCTGAGACATTTCTGAAAGTCCCAGTTTCTAGGAAGTTTCAAAGGCCTATATCCTTGTTGGGCACAATGACAGTATTGCATTTTTAATGATATCAGAAGTTCTGTAAGGGCTAAAACAAACTGCTGGCTCTGCCACTTCCTCAGTAAGTGATCTGGGACAAGACATTGTATCTGGCAACATCTCAACATCCTTATCGTAGCTTGAAGCGGGTAAGATTTTGCACCTGACACCCAAGAAAGAGTTATCAAGGGTTTTATAGGATTGTAAAGAGGGTTAATCAATTATAAGAGGTTTTAAAATACTTTACAATGCACAGAGTACTGAACAGGAGTCGAGGGGAGTAATTTGGCTGATATTTCACAAACTGTTTTGCAGTTTCAGTTCCAATCTCGTTCTGACCGTAGAAATAAAGTTACCGACTTCATACTGGTAATGTTATTTCTGGAGCCCAATAGAGATTTTCAATAGAAAAACCAGATAACATTCAGCCACTGCATTTACTGACTGAAAAATCCCCAAAGAACAATTTGCAGATGATGACATGGCACTTTGAACATACAATTCAATTCTGTTCTTGGGAATTATACTCCTTATTGTTGACAATATAATCAATTGTATAATGTAGAAATTAAATTCACACCTTAACAGAACAGGGAATATATGTATTTTCTTGTGCCTCATGCATAAAGGGCACTTATTTAGTGAATATAAGTAAGCCTAGACTTATATGCTCCATGGACAAAGCCTATGTGTTTGCTGCATTTGAAAAAATTGTTGAAGAACAGTTCCTTCTTTCAGAGATTCTTGGCACTTGTTTTGGTGGGCACATACTTTTGGCTTCAATGACTGAAAACCTCTTCACATGTTCTATTGGTAACTTAGTACTTATTTACTGTCCTAGATTCATTTTGGGTTCCCAGCCCATTGCTGTTCAGGCACACACACAGCCCTATTGGATTGATCCTTTCTCCAGTCTGAACTGTATTTATTCTTATTTATAACTGCATTATTCCACAGAGAATTTCAAACAGCATACAGAAATTATATACTTATTTTTATCTTGTATAAAAATAGGTAAGTGGGGAAACTGGCATGAGTTAAAGAGGGGAAAATGGGAAACCAGAACAATGCAACATATGGACCAAAGAAGAGGGTTTTATAATGTTTTGGAGATTAAGATGAACCAATTGATGGAGAGGCACAACTTTTCCTGATGCTAAGACTTCAGAAAGATTTATCTCATGAGCCTTCATAAAGTGGAAGTTCTGAATGCCTGGTTTGAGACAAGGATATTCTTCTGACATTCCTTTAAGCATGTTATTCTTGATACACAATATTTAAAATGAATTAGTCAATAAAAAGTTTGAGGTCATAGGCTTCAATAAGACTCTGAAGTGCAGATATTTTATGTTGCCAGTAATTGCAGATCCATATGCTTTATCTATCAATCCAGAAGCGGATAGCATGGAAAAAGCCAAGATTCTATGCGGTGGTTTAAAAATTTGTCTGCTATAATCATCATTTTTACTTGTACCACAAATGATGCAAAGAGGAAAACATTTGCTTAATCTAACTCCAAAAGAATTTTAAAGATTTTTTAATACTGACTGAGTTAATTTTAACAAGATCAATGATGTGGGATGGTTGGTAGAAAAATTCAATTTCATTATAATAAAAGTATAGTGAGTAACTTAATTTTACATCTTAAATAATGAAGCATGTAATTTCAAGATTGAAAGTGATATAAAATAAACCATTTTAACTAACATTGTAAAGAAACTCTTACAAACTACCCAATTTTATAATGATAACATGGAATAAGAATAAATATGGTTTAATAAGTTCTTCATCCCAAATTAGTTATCACATGTGTCTTCATAATATCTGGCCTGTAAATATTTAGCTTTTAGTCTTATCCATATAACGAACTGTCATGGTTTGCTCTATACTCTGAACTGTTTTTTCCTTCTTTCCAAGTTCTTCAGTAAAATGATTGTAATTTGTGGCCTCTAGTTTCAAGTTCAACTTTAGCCAAGGCTAAACAATAGAAAAAATTGTGATCATAATATTTTTATTATCCATATAGCTAAAGTTCACAATTCATCATCCAATAGAAAATGGCCAATTAAAACCTTCAAGTGTGATTGGCAGAGTATAAGGAGGACAATGTTTTTAGTCTATGGAACATATAGGTTTGAGTAATATAATCTCTCTATTTTTATATTTTTGTTTAGTTGTTGATGGGCCTTTATTTTATTTATTTATTTATTTATATGCAGTGCTGAGAATCCAACCCAGTGCCTCACACATGATAGACAAGTGCTCTACTGCTGAGCTACAACCCAGGCCCTAAGTAATATGATCTTTTGGTGAACCTTCCAACATAAACTATTTGCAAAATGTAACTTTATGGGACTGAACTGACTGTTCCATAGAGTTGTTAAATATGAATTAATTTAACGTTAGAAGATATTACCACAATTATGATTTGGATTTTCATATAGATGGTATTAAACTGTCCTTTTTATGACCAATTGTCTTTAAAGGCTAAAACAATATTTTCAAAGTATAGGAAAATTCTTATATTTTGTTCTGAAGAATAATAGAATATGTATCTTATTTAGAATCAGGATTCAGTCATTTTGAGAGCTTTAAGAAGAGGTGAGGAAAATACTGCACATTTATTTTTTTTAATACAGCTTGAATTGATCTTTGGATATGTTAAGAAGCTGCTGTTTCTATTGTTTTCTCACATTAAAATAGGTGAAATATGTACACCTGTAATCCTAGTGGCTCTGGAGACTGAGGCAGGATGATTATAAGTTCAAAGCCAGCCTCAGCAATGTAGCAAGGCCCTCAGCAACTTAATGAGACCCTAACTCAAAATAAAATTTAAACAGTGGTCTGGGGATGTGGCTCAATGGTTAAATGCCCCTGGGTTCAATCCCTGGTACAAAAATAAATAAATAAAAATTTAAATAAAATAAAATAAGTGAAATGTTCAGAAGCAGTACCTAAAGTGTATGTGTTCCTCACATACACTAGAACTGGGAGCAGAGGAGGACACCATGGCTGGCTGTGCCCTGTCCTACAGATACATAGCTCTTTCAGGATTCTGACAAGTTCTCCTTTTGAAGATAGGTAAGATGATAATGGTTTTCCACTGTTGTTAGTCTCAAGGTGCTTCATTATCTCTTGTTGGTTCCCTTAACCCTGTCCTCATTTTTATAAACAGCCCTTTCATTAGATTCTCTTTCTGTATTATCTCTTTCTTCCCAGACCTGTGATTGGTACAGTTACATGAATTGCAAATAGTATTAGAAAAAAACCTCAAGATGGCTTTCAGGGGTGGTGTTTTATAGCTGACAATTGCCTGTATAAACTCTTGGCCTAGGAAAATGGAACAATGGTATTCTATAGTATGGAGTGGCATCACAGTTATTTAAATATCTATTAGTAGTGACAAGAAATGGCGTGCCAGTGGAGGACACAGTATTGAAAGTTCAATGTCTAGCACTTAACAGCTATGATAGTCATAATTACTAAAATTGTAGTGTCATTTGGCTGTTCTCACTGCTTTGGTGAGAACACACACATTCTCTCTCTCTCTCTCTCTCTCTCTTTCTCACACACACACACACACACGCACACACACAGAAACAACTTGGATTCCATGAGGCATGAGTAGAAAACCAGAAAGTTTCTTTGACAGCTTTGAAGAAATTCATTATCTCTCATAGTTGCCAAGCAGAAATGGCTGAGGATCAAGCTCAGGGTCTGACTATACAGGCTTTGGCGTTGTAGTGTCAATTAAATGTGAGAGGTAGTTCTGTTATGCTAAAGTAAGGGCACTAGTGGAGATCTGGGACTCTTTGACATGGGATGTAGGCATCTGAGTAAAGATAAATGAGGATGAGACTCTGAACAAGAGTTAGAGCTTCAGCGTAGCCAGGATGGAGAAGCCCAAGGCCTGGTCTTGGAGGAGAATGCTTGTACACTGAAGATGTTATAGTATCTTACCAAATACTTACGTAATAGATGTTGGCACTGAAAATAACCTCTGCAGTCTCAAGATAACACCTGAAATTAAGATTTTATGTATTCAGTTGAGCATCTAAGAATCCTTCTAAGTGGGTTACTTGAAGCTTTTAATTAATAATAGCTTACAGTTTATTCTGCTTGAGATGCCAGAATTTCTCGTACTGAGAGTAAGGAATCTAAAGTTTCAGGGAGATGGGAATGTTGAATTTATTCTATTATGTGCATCCTGCTTAGTCATGTTTATTCATTCCACCTCTAGAAGAGTCCATAAAACTTGCTTTCATCAAGATATTGAGTGGGGAGGGCACAGAAAATGTGACTCTTTTCAATAGGTTGGAGATGATAATGCCACTGTGAAATATTGAGATAATGGTAAAAGTCAGGTGGCATAACTATCAAAGACATGTTCAGTACAATTACTGTGATGATCCTCATGAAGAAAAGATATTCAAGATATTTGATTGCAAGAATATAGGATGGATTCCCAAGTTTCTAAAAAAGTATGCTTAAGCACTGCTTTATATATGTAAAGAAAAAATTCTAGGATTGATGGACAGAAACCTAAAGGAAGTCACTATTCCAGAGATTCAAGACATATTATCCAATTCCTGGTCTTAAATCAGTTCACAAACCTGGAATCCTTTAATTAAAAGAGAGGCCATACTCCTTTGAGGAAGGATCCTGTA